ATCTCTGTTCCAAGCGAGCAGGCCGAGCAGGCGCCCCACCCCACCCCCTTATACTGAAGAAGCAAATGAGCGAGAAGGAGGGACAAGGGGTGGGAGGGAAGGGTGACGTGATTTGTAGTGCAGTGACCAGCACGCGACGGCGCACACACTCACACGCGCACACACACATTCGCACGCACGCACGCTCGCATACGCAAAGACGCGCGCGCACGTAGACGCGCAGACCTAAACCCTCGAACAAACACACATACATTTACAGTTACGCACATCCACCCTCGTACACCACGCACGCACGCACACACACGCACGCACACGCACACCAAGCCGATCTCATTTGCATTTAAACAAGTCTCATCGGACGTTCCCCTGTTCGTGTCTTCGACGGACCTACAGAGACGGCCCTCGTTAGCGTTTGTCCGTGCGCCCCTTTCGGCCCGCGTGCTGGGTCTGGGCAGGCTGGGGCGCGGCCGGGATGCCCGAAGGTTGATGATTCAGGTTCGGCAAAGCGGACATGGAATGACAACTCGACGGCTGTTCGGCGCATTGCGTTTATTATTTGGCGGCCAGCCTGGCGCGGTTGGTGGGCCTGGCCCACCAGGGCGGCCCCGCCGGCTTCTGGCGGCCCGCTGCCGCCGCGCTGCGTCCGCGCGCCCCCGCCTTGCCCTTGGCGTGCCCCTTGGCGTGCCCCTGGGCACCCAGGCCGCCGCCCAGCCACTGCGCCTGCAGCCACTGGTCCTGGCCGCACTCGGGCCACTCCTTGGCGTGCACGCCGGCCTTGGACTGCTTCACCTGCGATGGCGGAAAGAGAAAACAGTTGGTGGCGGCGAGCGATTTTGACGAGGATTCGAACCCGCGCTGCCGTCAGGATGGTGGCCAACCTTGCGAGGCTTCTTCCTGTCTGGCGGTGGCGGCGTGACTTGCGACGTGATGGCCGCCTCGTCGAGTGGCGGTGACGGCGACGGCGTCGGCGATGGTCGCCGCTCCAGCCCCAGGCAGAGCGCGCTGAAGTCCACCAGGTCCAGGTCCACGACGTCGTCATCCAGGCCGGCGGCTGGCCCGTCCCGCGGGTCACCAGCCGACGCAGCGCCCGGGCCAGGCGAGCTGCAGCCGCAGCACTCGCACCTGCGCGGACGGCGACGAGGAGTCAGAGGCCGCGGCCGCGACGACGCGTTGGATAAACCGCGCGAAAGGGTCGTCCGTAGTCCGGCCCGCGCTTTGTCGCTCCCTCTCTCTCGCACTCATGGGGCGCTGCACAGGGCGAGAGAGACGGGGCGACGAAAGCACTGCAGGGAGGGGCCGAGATAGGGCCGACAAAAAGCAGCACCCTCCCCTCCCGGGTCCTGGCGGTCCTGGCGGTCCTGGTCCCTGGCCATTCGGCCGGCTATTCCGTCGACTGTGAAAATGCCGCTCGTTTCCTGATTTGCGCGATATGCCGGCGCCTCGCCTGCGTTCATAATGCCTCCGTGGCCGCGAGGGTGGCGGGGCGGGCGGGGTCGGAATGTGGCCCTAGCCGCAGCGACGCACAGCCACGCGGGCAAGGGAAGGGAAGGCGGTGGCTGAGGCTGGCCGCGACCAGACCGCCTCGGGTTGGAGGGACGAGGGACGCGTGACGGTGATGAGTTCGCCGCGTCCGGCCGTGTGAGGCTGAAGGCCCTGAAGGCCGTGAGGCTGGTAACGAACCACATTATTTATTCCCCGGCTTCGGCCCTTCGGCCTCGACGCCACGCGCGTCGCTCGGGCTGGGCCGCGGCGCCACGGCTGCGAGGGGGTGAGTGCTATGGCGAGCGGGGTGATGCATTGGGGTCTTGGAGATCACCGCCTGGAGAACGAAGGGAAGGATCTGGAGAAGGCGATGCCTAGCGGTGCCAACCCACCTCGCGGTCCCCGCGTCCCCGTGCGAGCACGGCGAGCATCCCCCGCACGGCGTGCACGGCGCGCACGGCCTGCGAGTTGTCGCGGGGTGGTTTCCGGCGCCAGAGTCGCTGGCGCGTCTTCCGCTTCCGGACTGGCGGTGCTGGCGGTGCTGGCGGTGCTCGCGGTGCGCGCAGGATACCGCCTCCAGGCCGCGCCGGCAGCCCCGCCCCTGCTCCCGGCCGTGGTCTTGCGCCGCCCCCGCCGCCCCCGCCGTCGCGCCGCCACCGCAACTGCTGCTGCTGCGACTGCTGCGCCCGCTGCTGCTGCTGCGGCTGGCCGACGTCTGCGTCGTCATGTTGGTGAACCTGGCCGTGGAGGCCGCCGCCACCGCGGCCGCTGCAGCTGCCGGCGTCCGCGTGAACTGGCGCTGCGGCAGAAGGACAAGTGGTTCAGAAAGGTGTCCCGCCCCGTCCCGCCTCACCGCGCGCCGCACGCTCGCTCACACAATGGACGCCACCACGACCACGCCGTCGACGCGCACGGGGCGAGCTTCCTCGGGCGAAAGTTTGCCGGCGCGCATAATAAGCCGGGCCGAGCCGCGTGGTTCACCTTAGCGTTGGGGAAGGGGGTGAGACTGCTGGAAGCGGTGCGGACACAGTGCGGAGTACATAGACTCTGCCAACTTCCTCCGAATTTCGTGGATCGCCGAGGAAGAAAATTGACTATGATTCGGGATTTGGATGATTGATTTGGATACCCACCGCGGTGCGCGTGGCCCTTCTCGCGCGCTGCTGCCGCTGCCGCAGGTGGAGTGCCTCGCGCGCCGACGCCACGTCGGGCACCGTGAGCGACGTCACGGTAAGCAGCGGCTTCGGCGGCGCGGCCAGCCTAGCCGAAGCCGAGCCCGCCGACGCCGCGGCGCGGGGCCTCGACGGCCTCGACTCCCGGCCCGAGTCCTCCTCACCTGCGCAGATAGAGAGAGACACGCGGATTAGAGGGCGGTGGAGAGGCCGCCGGAGTTAGGCTGGAGAGGCCGGGGTCACTCTTAGCATGGCGACAAATAACGCCGCGCACGCCGTGCCTCGGCCAGCGCGGTAAATTATAGCCCGGGGCACGGCCAGGGCAGGCAGGGCCGGGCTGGCCGGGCAGCAGCCCCTCCCCTCCCCCTCCCCTCTCCTCCCCGCGCCTCGGCCGCGCAGTCATTTGCCACCGCGACAATAAATTTGGTTGGACGCTCTGCCCTGGCTCGGCGTGGCGGATGGCGTCTAGGCCACGCTGGAGGCGAGGGCGAGGCAAGGGTTGGCGTCCGATGCCAGGCAGGCAGGCAGGCAGGCAGGCAGGCAGGCGCGGCCCTACGTCACACAGCCCGACACCGTCGCCGGCCTGCCTGCCGGGCTCGCTGCCGGCAGCCCCACCTGAAATTAAACTCGCAATCGGAACGCTGCCCTACCTCGAGCAGCCCCGAGCCCCGAGGTCCGCCTGCGCGACGCGCGACGCGCTCGACGGTCTCGACGGCCTCGGCCACGTGATTAACGCGGGATGATTACGCTTGCTCCTCCCTGCTCGGCGTCGCGGCGTCGCCGTCCCCGCCATCGGCCCCGTCAAGTGCAGCACTCACCGTCGTCCTCGCCCTGGCCGTCGCCCTGGCCGTCGCGCGGGCTCATGAGCACGGACAGCAGCGGCAGCAGCCGGGCCCCAAGCTCCCTGCGGACACGGACAAGACCGTGAAGAACCCAAGGCAAGGTGAAATGAGGTGAGCACAGCACGCCGTGTGGCAGTGCGCGGCCGCCACAGCGCCCACAGCGCGGCCGCCGCCTGCGAGTCGGCGATAGGCAGTCCGCTGTGCGCGCGTGTGCGACGGGCCTGCATGCCGCGGTTCGCAGGCGCTCCCCGTCGAGGCCGCCGCCGCCGCTGCACTGCCTCTGCACTTGTTTCACCACTGTCAATACCTGTTCCAGGCGGCAGAACCGACGCCCCCCGGCGCAGCCTCCGCCTCCGCCGCCGTGGTGCGCGCCGACCGCGACGTGCGTCGCAGCGACGCCGTCGTCCCCTTGCCGGCGTGCCGCGCGGGCCGTGGCCGGCCGGGCCTGGCGGCGACACCGGTCCTGGACGGCGCGCTGGACGCGGCACTGGACGCAGCGCTGCGGAAAACAACATCATAAGTCATCCCATTGTGCGGCACGTCGCGAGGCACGTCGCGCGGCACGGACGTCGTAATGGTCACTCCGGGGACATAAATCGCCCAAGCTGATTCTCTTATTTACCCCGCGGCCCGCGGGAGCGGCGAGGCCGCGAGATCTTTTATCCATTTACAAGGTGCTCTGTCCTGCGGGCGTCCCGGGGGCGAGGACGGCCTTCCCGGCGACGAGGCGGCGCGGAGCGCGGAGGCCGTGACGCCACACTTTGCAGCCGGCGTTTCCACCCCTCCTCGCCGCCGAGGAGTGCCACTCAGGCCCTCGACGCCACCAAGGACGCCGAGTTGGCGTCCAAGGACGGCGTCCCGGATAAAGGGTCAAGTGGCGGCCGGGTGACGGATTGGATAACTCGAGGCCTACGGCGCCTCGTCGAGGGTGGGGAGGAAGCCGCCGAACGGCTTCAGGCGCCGCCATGTTTGAAACGCGACGCGCGCGCGACCACGAACGAAGCCAAGGAGGCCGCCGCTAAGGCCCTGCCCGCTTCGCTCAGAGCGACCGCAACCCCCTGGCCTCGGCCGGCGTCCTTGCCGGCGTCCTTGAGGCCGCCCTTCTCAAGACCGCGCACCTGCTTGAAGACGTCCTGGACCCGCCGTGGGCCCCCGAAGCTGCCGACGCCCCGGAGCTGGACGACCTGGAGAGCAAACAACGGAACCGAACTGAGTCAACATGCGCTGTAAAAACGCGCCGAGCCGAAGTTCGCCTATCGCCCGTCGGGACGAAGCGGCCCGGCTCAAGTTTCGAACCTTGTTGGAGAGACTTACGTTGCGCGCGTGCGGTCCGTGTGCGCGCAGCACGCGCGCGGACCGGGCTGCAGTGGGCTGGGGTTCGAGCCCCGTCGGCGGCGGTCCCCGAGCACTGCCTGGCGGACGCTCACCTCGGGCGGGGCGAGCAGCCGCACCGAGGACACGCCGGCCACCCCGGCACCGCCACCGCCGGCCATGGCGGCCAGCGCCTGCTGCTCCGAGCCGCCGCGACGCAGACGCACGAGGCCGAGACGAGTGGGCACCACGACGGCGTCCTGCCGCCTGGACACGGAGGTCGAATTTCAGTTCAACTACCAAATACTTTCCTACCCTCAAAGGCTGATGTGCCACACCTTCCCGCTTACGTGAGCGTATTGCGGTGCAGGCGGAGTCCCAGCGGCGCGGTCAGCACGCTGTCCATGGTCAGGGCCTTAGGGGCGTCCTCGGCGGTGCTTTCGGACCTGCAAACATAACCAGTTAGGCCGGGGCGCTCGGTGGGGCCCTCGGTGGAGCCCTCGGTGGGGCCCTTCATGAGGCCCATCACGCCCTCGGAGCCCATTGCCGTCCTCGGGGCTTAGGCCGCGGGCAAGCGGCAAAGCCCTTTAAAAAGAAAAAGACCAGTCTGGCTGGGGTCTCCCCGCCGCGCCCCGCCCCGCCCTGCCCTGGGGGCCGTTTGCCGCCAGCCGGGACGGCGTGGAGCGGGGCGGGGCGGGGCGGGGCGGGGCAGGGCGCGCCAACCTGTTGCGATATATACAACGGGCAGCGCGGCCCGAGTGGTAGGCTCGTCGATCCGAGCGGCGCGGCTGGGTATGACTGGCAGGCGACAGGGGACCTCCCGGCACGGCACGGCACGGCACGGCACGGCGTGGCACGGCGCGCCCCGCCCAGCCAGCTGGTGAGTTGGGGGTGGCACTCGCACACACAGCCCGGCCCAGGCAGGGCGGCAGGGCGGCAGGGCACAGCCCCCGGGGAGGGCAGCCCGCCTGCTCCAACTTTTTCCCTGGTGCGGCCAGAAATTAAATAAAAAGTTGCCGCTCGCGTCACGGCCGCCACGGCCACCCCCCGCGCCAGCGCCGCCGCGATGACGCGTCGTCTGGCTCACCCCGCCCCGCCCCGCCCCGCCCCGCCCCGCCCCACCCCGCCCCGCCCCGCCCCGGACGTCAACGAAATAATAAAGTAACGGCGCGGCTTGCGTGCGTCGTGGCGTGCGTCCCGGTGCGTCCCGCGGCGCTCGGAGCGTCGCATTACCCCTCACCCCCGTCCCCCACCCCCACCCCCCGCGTGCACCTAGCTTTGTATTGGCGCTTCCGGCTGCAATTTACGACGGAGGCAGCGAAGGCAGCGAAGGCCACCGCCGGGGTCCGGCGCGGCCGGGGGCGCGGCAGGGCACAAAGGAGGTATTGGTGCCTGGAGAATTCCTGGGCGCATCCCTATAACGCGCTTCCCCCTCCCCGACCCCGCCACGCCGAGCCGCCCCCCGCAGAGGAGCTCTCGCCCCTCTGATCGAAGGCAATTTTCGCCCCCGCGGCAAACGGTGGGCAGACAATGGTCGCCACCTTGCACCTGCCCGCACCTGCCCCGCAAGGCCAAGAAGGCGATAGTACGCCCCTTCACCGGCCCAACGGGCCCAACCCCTGCAGTGCTGGCGCTAGCACGCCGGCCAGCCAGGCAGCCAGGCAGCCAGCTCCTGCACTGCGTGGAGAAACCATTAGAGGCTGCGGTCTGGGGCGGCCGGGCTGTCGTGTTCCCTGTTCCCCGTTCCACGCATCGCGCTGGTCGTGTGCTGGCGTGCTGCACTCTGGAATGCAGCACAACGCCCGGAATGCAGGAGAGTACTGCAACGCGCTGCCGCTCGCTGCGAATCAAGTATGGGCATGCGATCGACGAACTGGCGGCGGACAGCGCGCGTAGAGGCGCGCGGCCCAGTTATGCCGGCAGGCTGATTCCACACAGCGCTACGTCACTCTGTCTCTCTCGCACTCCCGTGAGGCTTCCCTTCGGTGCGAGAGAGACAGAGCGAGCAAAGCACTGCTTGGAATTCGTCTGGCGGCGCGCGCCTTTCGTGCGAAGCCGCGCGTGCAGGCGCAGGCACTCCGGCACCTGCCTGGCTGCATACCTGCAGCACCACCCAGACGGCGGACCGGCCATCCCATCCTCACTCGCCTACCCTTTACCCGTCCGAAATTTTTGCAGCCATTGCTGCAACTTGCCGCGGTGCTTCCACCATCACTCTGCCACTTGCCACGCTCACCCCGTCCTCTCCGCACCGCTCCGCCCCGCACACATACCCGCGACCCGGCCGGCCGGGCGTGGCGGCGTGGCCGGGCCGCCTCCAGGGTGTGTTGTAGCGAAGCGCTAATCTGGCCTCCCTCCCCGCCGCCCCGCCCCGCACCCCTTCCTTCCTGGACTCGGCCATAAAACACGTCCCCTCAGCCCACGGCGGCGCCGCGCCGCCCCGCGCCGCCCCGCGCCAGCGCTGCAAACACCGAAAAGCAGTAATTATGAGGCATAATTTCCTGCGCCTGATTTATAATTGTGGCAGATTTGTATTATATTTAAGTCTGGTGAAAGGGTTGCCAGGATGTGCGCCCAGGTTATGGCGCTGCGTGGCGGGCCGGGGTAGGGGCGGGGTAGGGGCGGCGCGCGGAGGGGAGGGGGTAGTTTGAAAAGGGCCTGCCCCGCTCGCTGTTTGCAACGTCGGCGATGTCGTCGCGGGGCGAGGGGAGGGCGAGGGGAGGGCGAGGGGAGGGGATCTCCTTTCTCAAATTGAAACAGGCCTTTTAAAACTCCCGCGGCGCTGCGCGGCGCTGCACGGCGCGCGGCGGCGATGCCGTGTGCGATCCCCTCCTCGGTGTCATGGTGTGTTAACAAGTCATAGAGTAACTAAATGGGCTGCCGTTGGCGGCACGGCGCGGCGCAGTAAAAGAGGAAAGAGGCGCCCCCGGCGGCGCAACTGCGTGGCCCCGCGACGCTCCCACGCCCCGGCGCGGCACCGGGCCACGCAGCCACGCCCCGCCAGCGGGGCCAGTTAGGCAACCCACCGTCGTGCACCGCACTCTTTTCGCAACCTCTGGTTCGTCCTCCGTTCGGCAGTCCGTGCAAGTGGCGCTGGCGCAGACGGCCCAGCCGTCCGGGCCCGATTAATCTTTCACCAGCCGTCCAGTCTCCAGTCCGGCCCGGCCGAGGATTGCCCTGCGGCCGCCACTCGCACGAGGCTTCCGGAGGCAGGCGAGGACGGCGTCGAGGGGTGCTCTGGCCGCGTGCAGTGGCTCCGAGCCCCGCAACCGAACGCACGCGTGGAAACTTTATTGTGTTTTAATGTCGGGGCCTTGGTGCAGGTGGGGATGGGGAGGGGGTGAAATATATGTACGTTGGCAAGAAAGGCAGCCTTACACAACTCAATTTCACCAAAGAAACAACATCCTCGCGGGGAGTCGAACCCAGAACCCCGAATCTGAACCGAACCCGGGAAGGATACCCTGCCGACCGCAGCACGATGCATACAGTATCGCGAACCCACCGCGCTGAGCCGCGCAGCCGTTCTCACTCGTGTGGGGGTTGGCGTGGAGAGCCAAAAATAGTTTAAGTGGCGGTCGCGGCCTTGCCAGGACGAACCGCGTACCCGCCGAAATACCAGGCCGGGGAACCGGAGGGCCCGGCCCCGCAGGCCCCGCCCGGGCCTGTAGGGTTCGCCGGCTCGACGGCACGGCTGCGCTGCGCCCGCTGCGCCGCGGCCCGCGCGAGGCGAGGTCACGTGCTCGCTGTTCGCGTGACCGGCACGCTCTGCTTCGCCTGCTCGCCTGCTTTCGGCCTCCAAGTGCCGCGCGCCACCCGCTGGGAATCCGCAGTCTTTTTCATCGCTCTGTCTCGCTCGCACTCATGGGGCGTCCCGCAGAGGTGCGAGAGAGACAGAGCGACGGGAAGGACTCTCGGAATCAGCGTGCTGGGGGGCGTCTTTTCAGCGCGATGAGTGAATCCCTGCAATCTGGCGACTGCCGCCCCGCGAGCTGCGGGGGCCAGAGGTCAACAAGAAGGCCAACAAGCCAGCGCGGCACGGCGTTGCTTTTCGACAACTGTCCGATAAGGACAGCGAACGCGGAAGGTGGCCGTCAACCGCCAGAGCGGCTGGGACGAGGAAGTCCGACGGCCAGCCTCCTCCAAGACGGGGGCAGCGGGCCAGGAGGTCGTGCAACCCGTCAAGCAGGCCGGCAGGCACTCGGCACGCGATGGCCGACAGGCAGACAGGCAGGCAGGCAGGCAGCAAGCCTACGGTGCATTCAAGGAGCTGTCGCGGCCGAGGCCCCGCAGCAGGCCGTTAGCGGCACCGTGCGCCCTGGCGGCTGACTCGCTGAACAAGTAGCGCTCGTCTCCCCAGTCGCCCCGGGAGGGTGCGAGAGAGACGGGGCGGCCGTAATGCCGGGGTCCTTCAATCACCGCCAAGGTGGCAGGGCGGCAGGGCGGCATCGACCAGTGCCAGTCGGCCAGTGCCCAATGAACGACACACTGCCTATTCGCAGAGGTGCTCGTTGGGACTCCACGTCGTCACCATTGTGTGTCGCTTCGATCGGCGGCGCGCCGCGTCGCCCGCGTCGGCCGCGTCCCGAGCACGTCAGAGGTGATGCATGGCCAGCGGCAGGCCAGGCCGCCTAGCCCGCCCCGCCCGCGAGTACTATCATCGGTGGTGAAAAAAAGAAACCCGCGACAAAAAAATTTATTCATGGGGTATTAGACTTTGCATGGGATTACTTCTGGCCCTGGCTGCCTGGGACTTTACACGGTTTCTAATGCTTCTACACATGGTACGAATTCGATTGTTTCAACGTTCAAAAAAGTTTTGAAAACCTCTATCACTACGCACACCGCATTGGGTGCAACAATACATGTGAAAGTGTCTCGGTGTATGGGTGAACGTCAGAAGAAGGCACCCATTGCACTCAAGAAACTTTCAAAGCATTTCAACTCTGTGATTCAACACACTCAACTACATACGGTGTGCAAATGCCGACTCACCAGGACTGACGCGCGCGCGATCGCCGGCAAGCTCATTTACCCCGCCATGCAGGTAGTGGACATGACGGAGAATCTGACGGCGTGCTGCTGTCTGACGGCGTGCTGCTGCCTGACGGCGTGCTGCTGCCTGACGGCGTGCTGCTGACTGACGGCGTGCTGCTGCCTGACGGCGTGCTGCTGCCTGACGGCGTGCTGCTGCCTGACGGCGTGCTGCTGCCTGACGGCGTGCTGCTGCCTGACGGCGTGCTGCTGCCTGACGGCGTGCTGCTGCCTGACGGCGTGCTGCTGCCTGACGGCGTGCTGCTGCCTGACGGCGTGCTGCTGCCTGACGGCGTGCTGCTGCCTGACGGCGTGCTGCTGCCTGACGGCGTGCTGCTGCCTGACGGCGTGCTGCTGACTGACGGCGTGCTGCTGCTTGACGCCGCCGACGTGGGCCGCGCCTCATCAGCCGTTATGTACTAACAGGCGAGCGACTCGCTGGCGGCGAGGGCCCGGCGCGGGGGGCGGCGCGGGGGGCGGCGAACGACAGGGGTAGCAGGCAGGCACCGCCGCGCCCCGCCGCCCCCCGGCACCCCCGCTGCACCTGCCTAACCCTGCGCCCCGGCCCACCCCGTCGTGGTGCTGGCGGGTCGGGGCACCTCTACCGGAAACACCTCTAAATCCGAGCAGACCAGAGCGTACATCAACGCCAGTTTATCTCTAAAACAAAGACATACACGTCGGAAATACATCTAATTCGCAATATCCGTCAACACTTGAGGTGCGAGGAAAAATAATTATAAATAATAGATAAAGGGTCTTTTCAAAAGTAGCGTCGCGGGATGGGCTTGGTGCCTGCCCCATCCCTCTTCCCCATTTCCCCGTCAAGTGGTTCAATTTTTAAAATCAATTTTTAACCAAATTTAAAATAGAATGGCGTATAGGACCCTCTAGTGTGACGACTGTAGAATTTCCAGTGGAGGTACACGAGGCGAGCCACCCGGCTCGGCCCGGCCCGGCAGGCCTGCCGAGAGACTTTGAAAGCCGCGCCGGAGCCCAAAGCCTCGCCAAAGACTCGCCGTCAAGCTCCTCCGCAAACTGCCTGAGTCCTGACAAGTGCTCACCACACGCTCGGCACGCTGCACGTCCCGCCCCGCCTGCATGTCCGCCGACTTGGCCAAGTTTGTGCTTCCGGACTGCCGAGGCGCTGAGCCGCGCCGCGCCCAGCCGGCTGCACTACGAGCTGTACTATCGATTCGCTCTTTTGGCGCAACCAGTTGGCGCTTGAAGCGCTTTAAAACGTCGCCGACGTCGTGGCGTCCGTGCCGCGTCATGCAGCGTCATGCCCCGGCGACCTCGAATCGTGACAGCCAGCCCAGGCAGCACCGCGTCAACGAAATCCTCGGTACCCGCGGCAGTGAGGCACCGACTTCCCCGCGGGAAATTCGGTTTCTTTTACTCGTACACGTGCGATTTCCGCAGGTTGCTCCGTGCGCTTCTATTCCCGCGGCGGAAGACACACTGCGCCTAACTTCAAGGATTGAGGAATGATCGCCCTGATTGTTGTTATTCTCCCTCGGCCCATAACGCGCGGACAGATAACGAAACGGGGGCGGAAACACTGCCTGCGCCGCCCTGCGCCCTCCGCCCCGCTTTTCCCCGAATTTGTGGCCGCGCTGCTCGGCGCTGCTCGGCGCTGCTCCACCCGCGTTATCGCGTCGAGACGAACCAGAGCATCAGAGTCAGGGAGCGGCCGCATCTGCCGCAATTAGCACGGCAACAGCACGCGGCAGTGCGATGCACCGGAAAGGGAACCGGAGCGAGGGAAAAAATGCCACGGTAGCAGCAACTTTACAGCAACTACGCCGTGAGCAAAGCGTCCGTCTGCGCAGAGTTTTGTGGAAAATGAAGGGCACGCTGGGTGTCGAGCCCACTGGATGGCATCTCAGATGGTCAGTGCGTCACACAGGTAACAACGCGAGCAACGGTTTTCAACCACACCGCTCTGATGGCCTCGAACCGTTCCACAAAAGACAGCAAGTCGAAAAAAAAATTTGAGATGCCGGTATTTGAACACCGCACAGTGTGGTTGAAAACCGTGACTTCAGCCATCCATCAGCGTGTGCCGTGGTGGTCTAGGGAGTAGAGGCGTCGCTTCCTCGTGCTGGGGTCGGCGGCTCGACTCCCCGAACTTCTTGCGAAATTTTGACCGGGTCGGTCCATTTCTGTCGCTTCAAGAACGCACCTCACGCCACTCCACTCATCATGGGCCGTGGTGGCTGAGCGGCAAAAGGCGTGCGGTCCCGGTGGTGGAGTTCTGGGATCGAATCCCATCTCTTCGTTACATTTTTCGACTGGCTTCCTCCCACTGCAACTCAAACCCGTCGTCCAACACGCGGCCAGACGTACAAGCTTGATAGCGTAGTGGTCAGAGTCACATTCACCAGGCCACTCCGCTGGTGTGACTAAAAAGCAATCTGCCAACGGGAAGGGAAGGCCCCACGCCCAAAATACCTCGCGTTGTGTGGCGTCTGTTCTTCTTTTCATTCCTCGTTCCGTTGCGCAAGCTGCGCCCTTGGGGCGGCAAAGTGAATGCCCTGCGGCTACCTGCGGCCGGTGGCGCCGGCCGTGGGGATGGAGTATCACCTTGAACTGCCGCCCCGCGCAGAACCACGCCAGCCCCGCCGCCACCGCTAGCCCCGGCATCCCTCTCACTTCCGGTGCCCCCCTCCCCCGGCGTAACTTCCTCGACGCGGTGCGCGATACGTTATACCGGGTGGAGGCCGCGTGCCCCGTGGGGAAGGAGGGCCACGGCCAGCCGTCAGTCTGTCTCTCTCACACTCGGGACGCTCCATCAGTGCGAGAGAGAGGCCTCATACTCGGAATCAGCCGGCTGCCCCGGCAGGGGGTCGTTAAAGTTTGAATCTCGCGCCAATTTTGGCGGCGGGGCGGCTGAGGCGGTGACACGGAGAAGGCCAGCTCCACCGTGACGGCCTCGACGGCGTGCGGGGTGCGGGGGCGGTGGGGCGCGCGCCGCATCTGACGTGCAGCCTGCCAGCAAAGGCCCCGCTCGGCCCCAGTCCGGGTTTCTGGTCCATCTTCGGCGAAACCCGGCCGGGTTTCTGGTCCGTCTCCGGCCATCCACCGCCTTCCCGCCCCCGGCGGGCCGCCGTCCGCCGCCAGTGCGGCTTTTCAATCTCACGGCGAGGCATTAAACTCGTCCTCCGCTGGGGTGGGGTGGGGGCGGGGGCGCCAGTCGGTCCAGGCCGTATGTGCAATGGCTGGGGCGGCGGGAGGGGGCCCAATAACCCAGAGGGGCTTACGTTGTGTTCGGTAGGAACCTCATGTCGTCAAACGCAGCCGTAAAACAAGGGCTGGCAAACTGCAGGCCGGCCTGGTCCTGCCAGGCCCTACGGGAGCCCTCGAGCCCTCCGTGGGGCCGTGGGGCGTGGCGCGGCGTGCGGTCGCTGGAGCCCTATAGCTCGCAAGACGAGGCTGGGAACGGGGAACGCGTAGGGCTGGTAGGGCGCAAGGATCGGGAAGGGCCGCCGCCGTGCCGCCAGGCCGCCACGCTGCACACTGATTCCGGGAGTCGTTTTCGTCGCCCTGTCCCTCTCGCACTCACGGGGTGTTCCGTATAGGCGCGAGAGGGACAGAGTGAGACCGACTCTCGAAATCAGTCTGCTTCAGCTACCCCTGCTACGCGCCGCGAGGGTGGAGGGAGGCGCACTGGGAGAGCCCGGCGGGGATCTGCGGCACTTCGACGCCGTGGTGCATGATCCGGGACGGCCGGGACACAGAGACCAGCACAGCCGCGGTGACCGGGGTTCGAATACCAAAGTCAAATACCGATCCCGGCGGAAAGATTGTTTCTTTTTGGCCCTCCCCGGCCCTGGCACCCCCGCGCGGTGAGTTGGCCACGCTGGCCTCCACCCCCGGCGGCGAGGCGGCGAGGGCGCGATCCAGGTCAGTGGTGCGTTCGTTGCCTTGCGTCCCTTGGCGTCCATGGCGTCGCCCCATCCCCGACGGCCTGGTGGCGTGCACCCGATGCACGCGCGTGCGTGCGTGCGCTCGGGGGCGCTGCAAGTGATATCAGCCTTCCCCGCGCCGGCCCTGGCGGCGTGACGGGGATGCGTATTTCACGGCGGGCTGCTGGCGCTGCTGGCACTGGCTGGCATGCATCGGTCGTGTCAGGCAGTCAGGCCGTCGGAAAGGTGCCGCAGTGCTGTGGCGGGGTGGCTCCGTGGCGGTCTTGGGGCGCCGCGCGCCGCGGTCCGGGATTTGCTCGGTTTCGTCGCTGCTCATACAGGGTGCCAGCACTGAATTGGAAAATTCATATCTTTGAACACTCGGATACGAGATGGATTGGCTAGGCCCGCGCGGCCGTGCTGAGGGACTTGTCCGAGGCCGTGGGGCGTAAGACGCGCTGCAGGCCTCGGCCCGAGCCTCGGCCTGACGGGACGGCAGCGGCAGCCGCTTTGTATTGTTCCCCGCAGACACCTCGTCTTGCCTGGTCTTGCCGGGTCTTCCCTTCTGGCGAGCTAGGCGGGGCGGCCGGCCGGCCGGGGAGTGCTGGGACGGCTTGGACGGCTTGGACGGGGCCCTACTCGTGACGTTGTCCGATTCGGTGCGCTCCGGTGCGCTGCGGAGCGGACACAGCAGGAGGGGCACATAGTCGAGTAGTCTTGAATGGGGCAGCCATGCAAGGCCCGGTCCGGCCCGGTCCGGCACGGCCAGGCTTGGCCAGGCACGGCCCGCCGCGCGTTCACGCCGTCCACACATTCGCAGATAAATCCTCGCGCGACGCGATTTCGGTTTGCGCGACTTTACGACTTGTGTTCAACACGCGCTCGGCGTTGGGTCTTTGCTCTTTTGCGAGGAACGAATAACACGCGGAGAAGACTAAGGTGCAATCCACGACGCGTTTGGCGCAAGGATTCGGAATGGAGTCTCTGTTTGACCAAAACATGCATGTTTTAGGGCAGAGATCCATGGATCCATTTTTCCGCCAAATGCAGTTCCACAGCTCGAGACCACTTTTCTGCCAAATCCCTCTCTCCGGACATTTTTAAAAAGATAAAATTTGGCGCTTGTTGGCTCCTTGCAATGAGTTTGCCGACAGGAGAGCAAATGCCCTTAACTCGCCCT